ACTATATATCTTATTAAGCTTATAATCTCTAAAACCAAAGGAGCCATTCAATTCAAGAACCTCACTATTAGCTAAAATGGTGGTTATTGCCGGTGTTAATCTCACTACTACCTCCCCAGGAATCTTAGCGAACTCACCAAAGGCGGCGGCGCAAACCACCAAGTTCACCACGTGCCTAAACAGGCCATGGAAGAGGGCCGGCGTCACCGCGGGTCTATTCAGGCCCGGGAGGATGTGCGTGGTGAGGCCTGTGTGCGCCGCACCGGACAGCAGCCTGTCGGAGAAGGTGGCAGACAGCGTGAAGAATGCTGAGGAAGCCTGCGCCGGCGACCCCACAAGCGGAGAGTGCGTGGCGGCGTGGGACGAGGTGGAGGAGCTGAGCGCGGCGGCGAGCCATGCAAGGGACAAGAAGAAAGATTCCAATCCTCTGGAGGAGTTCTGCAAGGATAACCCTGAGAGCGAGGAGTGTCGCACTTATGATAATTAATTTTATTTTTATTTGCAGCATATATGTAATCTTAATTATATTATAATATATATATTCTTCCTTTATATATCCAACAAATTAGCTTGCCTGGCCTGTTCTTGCATGCATGTTTTAATTTCGAACTGCTCAGACAGCTCTCTGTTGTTAAATCATTAATTTATTAGACTTCATCAATTCTCTAATGTGTGTATAATCAAAATTTACCATTTACTATGCACTTCTCTTCACTTGGAGTAGTGTTATTTATCACAGTTTAATTACCTCTGTCGATTTGTGTAATTGTGGGTTTAATTAGTTGATGCTTTTTTTAACATAAAGCTTATGCATACCTTTGATCATTTAGTTCAAAGTTTATTAGGTTTAGTATTTAATTAATTTTTAAAAACTTATAAATTTTAGTTTTAATTAAGTATATATACATAGATATTGGTATACTATCTAATTTAAACTCTCTATGTTATCATTCCCTTTGAATTGGGAGATTGAATAATAGTTATGGGAATAATTTTATTATTGATCACTCCATTATGATTTAAATTATATGATGAAGAGATATATTTATCAATATACATTATTATATGAGCTCTATTTTGTTGTTTCATTTTCACACACTAGTTTAATTATAATAATGTTAAAGTATTGTTTTAATTACACTCACGTTCATTTGACAATATATATTATTGTATGGTTCTGAATTCTAGTTTCATTTTTTACACACACTAGTTTTATTTTAACAACATTAAAGTATCATTTTAATTATACTACAGTTTCATTTGGCAATACATGGTTGAATGAGCTCTGTTTTTTAGTTTTATTTTTCACACACACTAGTTTCATTTTAGCAACCATAAAGTATCATTTTAATTTTACTACAATTTCATTAATCATGATCCACATAACACTATAGATCATGGTCCACGGTTTAACAACCGGTTGTCAATGTAGGCCGGCCCAAGAAGAGTATATTATACATTTATACCTATGACCTATCCGAGTAAAGCCGGTCCATTAATTATGAGCATTTTATAAAGCCCATCAAGTTGTCAAACTCCATGTAATAGACAAAAGACCTCAAAATGAGACATCAACATAAAGGAATGTGTTAGTCAACGTGATTTATTTGTTTATTACTCCGTATGTTTTTTATACACAAATTTGCATGTAGGATAATTTTAATACTCTTCACAAATATACGAGTTATGTAGTAATATCATGTGTTAAGTATATGCACCAGAGTACTGTGGACTCCAGTGCATGTGTATGTGTCTTATATTGTGAGTTTTTATATTTTATGTTATGAAATTTTGTACTTTAAAAGTATGAATTCTGTACCTGAAATAAATTAGTAATTGTGTTTTATGTTATAAATTTATGTGTCCTGTATTGTGAAATTTTGTGTCTATGAACACAAATTATGTACTTAAATCAGATTTGAAAAAAAGTAAATACATAACATGTGTATGTGTTTTGTGTTGTGATTTTTTGTGTCTTATATTATGAAATTATGTATCTTACGAGTAAGAATTTTGTCCCTCGCCGTTTCGATCCAAGGTCCATAATGCTACGTGGACTTTGGCCCATAATATAAATTGCCCTCTGTTTGCTCTTACTTTACCATGGACCGAGGTTTACAATGCAGTGTAGGCCCTAGTGCATGTGTATGTATCTTATGTTATGAGTTTTTGTATCTTGTGTTATGAAATTCTGTACCTTAAGTGTATGAATTCTGTATCTAAAACAAATTAGTAAATGTGTTTTATGTTATGAATTTCTGTGTCCTGTATTGTAAAGTTTTGTGCATATGAATACAAATTATGTACCTAAATCATATTTGAAAAATAAGTAAAAATATATAACATGTATATGTCTCTTGCATTGTGATCTTTTGTGTCTTGTGTTGGGAAATTCATTTTGTACCTTAGGAGTACGAATTCTGTATCTCGTCGTTTCGATCTAAGGTCCATAATGCTATGTGAACCCTGGTCCATGATATAAATTGCGGTGTTAAGGTTAAAAAAAATTTAAACCTGTAACTTAATTGATCCATGTGTTTAAGGAAGTTTATGCTTAGATGTAGTCATACTCCCACTTCTATAATTAAACAGGAAAAGGTTAAATAAACCCTTGAACTTTATTCAAGAGTGCAATTAGGTTTTTGAACTTTAAAAAAGTGTAATTAAACATTTGAATTTGTCATTTTGGGGCGTCTAAATTTAGTAGCCGTTTATTCACCTGGAATAACCGGTCATTTGAAATTATGACGATATTCTAGCGAATAAAATTTCCGGCGAGTATAAAAATTTAAAAAAATAAATAAATCAAGGTGGCCAGTCGTCTTCTCCAGTGGAGAAAACGACCAGTCCGGGCATCGTCTTCTCCAGTGGAAATGGTCATCGGAAATTGTTTTTTTTTTTTTTTTTTTTTTTTTTTTTTTGTGTTTTTGTTTTTTTAACGATGGTGAACAGTGATTAGCGGCAATTATATTAATGGTGGTCAACAACTCAACGTCGATAATTTACCGGTAACATGTTGGTTACCGAATTAATAAGACTTATTTGACTCATTTTGACAAGTTCAAATGTTTAATTGCTTTTTTTAAAGTTTAAAAATTTAATTGCACTTTTGAGTAAAGTTCAAGGGTCTATTTGATTATTTTTCAATAAAATATAGACAAGCGAACTATAGGACAAAACCCATACGCGATTATCATTCACAATTCACAAATTTGAAGTGTCTTAAAGTAAGAAAAATGATAGATGCTAAAGTTAAGATCCACAATACATTTGTAGCATAATTTTTGGCATGAGAAAACAAAGCCTACTATTTCTCTGTGGCTCTACGTATTGTCTGTATGCCCAATAATCTCTCCGATCCCTTTATTTTCTCCTTTCAGACAATATAATTGCCTAGCTACTACAACTACTGCACAATTAACAACAAAAATAAAGATCAAGTTAAAAGAAGCTAAGTAGCCAGAATAGAATAATATAATATAATGATCCAGTTTGTTAAGAAAGTCATAGTGAAAGGGCTTGATAGCTACCACAAAAAATACATCGCAACAAACTCTGTAGACCCGGTCTACCACGTCTGCTTTGGCGGCATGGCGTTCTCGTACCTGGTGGCACTCCCCGAAGAACTCCGCCACCTTGAACACCAAAAACACCAACAAGAAGCCAAAAAACAAGATCATCAACAACACTCCTAAACTTGTGGTATTTGCAAATATAATGTTGTCGTTTCATTATTAGCTTGTGGCGGATCTTCACTAGGTTCACCAACTTAGAAATAAATATGAAGGTCGATCGAGACTTGTCACGGATAAAGTGTCGTTTTGGGTTAAAATTATTTTGGTTGTGTTATATTTTCTTAAAGATCATCACTGTTTACGTACTTGATACTTAATTTTAAATGTTACGTTATTATAATTTGGCATTTGGAGGTAGGGTGTGTGTGGGGTGTGGGGGTTTTTTTTGGTTAGGTATTCTAGTGGGCATATAAGTCAAGATCCATTGCAATTCAAGACGAAGAAACATGCAACGTTAAACAATAATAGAGTTTAATAGTTTATTGATTTAGAGAAGAAATCTTGGGTAACATCATATCGAACCCGGCCATACTCCCCACAATCTATTATGCTACATTTTCTGATTAATTATCCCGAAATAATAGCGTCTAATTGATACGTATATACATTAGTCTTTTCACTCGCTTGCCCTACACCCTTTTTGATGACCAACATGCCCAACAAACTCAGTTGCACCTCCAAAAGTTTGGGGGAAAAAAGACAATAATAGTAGTGATATTTAATTCACCATTAGATATGGAGGTTATTAAAAGTTATATAAAATTTTAAAACTTACCGTACCACTATTATCATAAATAAAATAATAATCCAAATTATTCATGAATAAAACATCTATGTTATAAAAATCATTATATTAAAAATATAATAATAAAAGTTTTGAGTTAATTCCAAAAATGGTCTTTCTACTATTAACTCTTATCAATTTTTATATTCAATTTTTAATTTGATCAAAATTAGCCCATTAACTTAACTATTGATTTTGGTCTAATTTTAGTTCTTTTGTTAAATCTCAGTTAGGTAGATGTTAAATTTTATGGCAAGAATGTAAAATCACATTTTTGCTCTTTTCTTCCTCTTTTCTTCTCCATCATGGTTTAAAATCGGGAAACCTAATTATATGCGCTCACAGTGCTTAGCCGTGGTTGTCGAGCCTTCCATTGATGAACAGATCGGCCAAGCTTCTTCTGTGAACTTCAAGTTGCGGTGGTCGCCGTCTACGCCTTCCGAGCCCAATGTTCCTACCCTAACTCCGATTCCGGACTTTGAGAAGGAGCAAATTAATTAAAAGTTTGATTGTTTCTTTGATGATCTAAAATTGTGAATGTAGAAATAAAAAATTGTGATAACCCGGATCCACCTTGCAAGGTGGATCCCAATTCATGGCATAACTATCCATCAAAGTCCACCACTTTGATGAGAAGCCCATCCTACTTTTATTGGCAAATTATGCTGTGGAACGGTGGACACATTTCTAAAGAATGAAGGTTCACCAACTTAGTGTTGGAAAAATGGCATTAAAATGGCATTTTAAGTGGCTATTTTGTGGTACAATTATCAGTGGGGTCCACTTTCGATTTGGGTCGGGTCAAAGTGGATTCGGGTTCTTCGTAGTGAGACGAAGAGATTGATATATTGTATGCACAAAACGGATAATGGGTGAATGAGATATTGATTCTCAAAGTAGACCCATTTGAGTTGGAAAATGAAGGGAAAAGTGAGCTTTTGTCCCACATTGGTTTGAGAAGAGGATTTGCCCCACTATTTATACAAGAGCTTTTTTTTAAACTTATTGAATTGTCACTACAAGAAAAATGCACATAGACAACACTAGAAAGACAACACTTTTTAAGAAAAGTGTTGTCTTTTGTATAAAAGACAACAGTTTGGTCCAAAACCGTTGTCTTTGATGCAACACTTTTGTCAAAGACAACGGTTTTTACTTAATCGTTGTTATAAGTGTGTTGTCTTTGTGCATTTTGTGAAAAGACAACACCACAACGACAACGGTTTTTAAAACCGTTGTCTATGTGCGTTTTTTTTTTTTTAAAGACAACGGTTTTTTTAACCGTTGTCGTTGGTGTGTTGTCTTTAAGCGCACTAGAATACACAACACTAGAAAGACAATGGTTTTTTAAAACCGTT